CGCACAACTATGAACGCTATGCCTTCAGAAATATTGGTGGGCGCTGCGAATGGGGTTGGCTGTTCGATGCCGTTTGAGGTATCGTGAGGGTGGACAAACAGACAATTGTACAGACAGACAGGCAGACTTATTTTTTTTTCCGTTGAATATCCCCAAGAAAGACTACCGTCTTTAAAATTCTTTCAGTTCAGTCAGAAGATTGAAACGATGATTCTCCCTCGTACGCGAAAAAAAAAAACATGCACACGCTGGAATCCCGTGTAATCTGCTGTCTGCCGTGGTCTCCACCGCCGCCAGGATCCGCTCCCTTTTCCGTTAGCCGGGTGTGTGAGGTGATGCTCGTTCGTTTTCCTGGAAAAAGCGGTGATTGGGACGGCCGGAGGGGGAAACACGCCACACACCCGCCATCTCGGAGGTTATAGGGTAATTGTCGTGTTTTCAACATTACCAGCGATATGGCGCAATGAGCTTGTGTCGCCAGTTGGTCACGACGCGGCGGCGCGCCCTCTTATGGCATGTTCACACTTGGCTTCAAAGAGAGCGAAACCAGCGAAACTCTCCGGCTCGTTTAGCCACCTAAGCAGCCGGAAAACCATGCCGCGGGGCCGGCGCGCGAGAATCGGTCCGACAGTGATTTTCCCGCCACGTGAAACTGGATCTCGTTTCCCCTTCACAGCATTGGCTGCACTAGATCAAACCACGTGACCTAACCAGCCGGCCGCAGATTCAACATGGCGGCACAGGCGTCGGTGGTGGCTTGCGTCGGCTCAAATCGAAAACAACCCGTGAAGCACGACGAAGCTTCTTGGCCTCAACGAGGACGCATTGACCGAGAGCCTGACTCGGAATACGATCGCCGAGAAACCTGGAAGTAGTAAGGTGCAGCGGCAGTGAGTCGGCATGCCCCAACGTGTCTCGCGTTTTTGTACAGACAGCTGAATGAGCCGCCGCCGCTGCCGGAGCATTCGCTCGTGTCGTTTCTGCTGGCTTATTTTCCAAAACAACGTTTGAAAAGGTGCGAGCTGTTTCTTTTCAATACTTTGCGTGAATAACTAGAGTTCAGTTTGAACTTTAGCTTGAACTTCAGTTCGAAGGCGAAATCGAAGTAATTGTCAAGGTATCGACGGCAGCGGTGGTGGGATGGGCAGAACTAATGTGAACATCTTCGACGCGCGCGGTCGGAGTTTTCCGGCCGCTCTGGCGTTTTAGTTATCCTTCAACTCTCGAGTGTAAACGTGCCATTATCTCGCATGCGTACTTTGCCCCGCGGAGAGGGGATGTTCTCGCGTGCGCTCGCTCATCTTGTGGTGGGGACAATCGTGTGCTTCAGACTTTCACCGGAACGATTCTGCTGTAGATACCGCGCGCACGATGGCCACTGCGCCAACTCCATTTAGGAAAAAGGCGCGCTTTTCAGACACAGCGAAGTAACAACTGAGACGCTTATCCGCGTTCATCTGTACCTGTGAGTATGTTTTGGGCATCATTTGTGCGTAAGCAACGCATTTTGATCGGCTTGCTATACTTCGCGTGACATTCCAATTTGTTACTATTGCATTCATACATTCGCCTTTGCGGCAAGGCTGTCAGTTTTCTCTTTCAACTTTTCTTTCTCCCGGACCGGTGGTGGTGATCCTCGTGGGGGGGGGGGAGGGGGAGAGGGGATGACCGCTATTGTAGCTCAGGGGCATATAATCGGACGCATTATTCGAAGGTCGCATAATCGGTTACTGCCGGTGGCAAGTTATCTTTTCGTCCACTCTCATTGAGACTGTAATTACCTTTATTAACGTACCCCATATTTTATCTGGTGCTTTTATCTGCTAGTTCTCAATAATATTACATCTAAAAAGGAAAAGGTGCCCTTCAATTTACCCTTTTCTACATCTCTTTTTTGAAGTTTTGCATAACAGAACACATGTGAGTAGTAAAAGAACAATGTCATCTCCACTAAGTGAATGATGATGAAGGAGCTTGCTCTGAAAGGGAGAACCATCAATTCTTATGACGAGGCTCTTCTTGTAGAATGGCTTGTGAACGAGTCGCGTCTTGATGTATACGTCGAAGGGGGCGTCTTCGGGCACGTTACGCTGCAGGCGCTGCAGGAAAGGAAACTCTCAATGGAGCACGGTAAAGGCGTTCGCCCGGGACTGGTCGCTGTGGATGGAGGCGATGGCAGTGAGGTCGTTGTCAAAGCACAAATGGTCGCATGCCTTAATGCCAAGGCAGAAAAAGCGATCGAGGAAGAAGCACTAGAAGCGCGCGTCGGCGCCATCAACCTCAGTTAACGCCCGCTTTCGGCGTTCAACCGCGGCTCCCCGCAGCCGCTCCGTTTCGAGGTTCTCTGGGCGCCACTTGCATGAGGCCTCTGCTTCGCGAACTCTCGCTTAGGAATGCGCTTGTTGACGAGCCCACTTAGCTTCGACTGCGCGAGTCCTCGCCGCTGCTGTCGCATCTGGATCGAAGATCATGCTGGCTTGATGGTGATGGTGAGGGGTCCTCTAACGCTTGAAAACATTGGTGCCGACTGCATAACTCGTAGTGGCACTCGCCGGAACTACTGCGAGTGGAAGTGGCGCCAGAAGGTTTCCGCGATATGATTTGATGTATACGACAGTTGATTGTGATTGCGGAATTGCACCAAAATAGGGATTACTATTGAATATATAAAACTCTCCGACTTTTCCAGCTTGAAAACTGCTAAGCTGGTCAAAGACTGCGCCGAACGCCATGTGCTATAGAGGAAACGCCTCGGCGGCGTTCCTGGAGCCGTTATTTGAAAATCTAAAAGAAAAAAATGCAAGAGCGTTCATATATATACGTCATTGCCAAAAATAAAGATCAGTAAAGCTACAAAACGTTATAAAAGCGTTGACGAGCTGGCTCGTTTCGCACGTGTCCTTCTCTCTTCAAATAGCACATTGTTACCATCGCAACGGCGGCCGTAATCCACTGGACGAAACAGGCAATATGTCACACAAGCCTCCAGTATACGGCAGGGCGTTCAGTTCATTTCATTCGGCTGCCCTCTGACGTCAGAGGGCGGCGGAAACACGGTAAGGTGAGCCCGCGAAAATCGAGTTGAGAGTACGCATTTGTTTCATTGTATTTTGATATCTCTGTATACACTGACTAACTTTGCACTGCGTTGCCTCATCGCTGCCGTTCTTGCGGCACTTATATCTTGACCCGTCTGAGTACGCAACCAGCTAGAGAAGCTTGTTAAACTATGAAATCATGAAAAAGTGCTAAAGGGCCCCTTTAAGATGAGTATCTGCGTGAAGATGAACACTCACTGAGCTCCGGCGATGCGAAACGAAGCGCGCCGAAAGCGTCGCGCTTACCTCGAGAACCAATGCACACGCAAAGAGACATGCCTGAGCATAAGAAGCTTGGCGAGCAAGCTCCTAAAGAATATACTATTGCAGTGTTTTAGGAGATGCTTCGCGTTGCAAGTAGTTTAACCAGTCTTGCACCAAGCGACAGGGTCACGCCAGCAACCTAATGGAGAGAACACCGCTATGGAAAAATGTATCAGCAGCCTGGGCAACACCAGTTCACATCTGTGCTGGACTGGGTGCTCTTAATGAGCAACACAAATATATCACCTGCATTGCTGATATATCTAAGGTTTTACGCCCCGAAACCTCTACATGAACATGAAGGACGCCAGTACAGAAGGATTCCGTAAATTTTGACTATCTGGTGCTCTTTATTGTGCACTGACATCGCACAGTACACGAGCCTCTACTATATTCGCCTCCATCGATATGTGAGCGCCTTGGTCGGGATCGAATCCGCAACCTTCACATCACTAGCCGATCACCTTAGCCACTGTTCCACCGAGGCGGACATACCACCAACAATAAGTTTACCGCATTTACGGCTTGACTGCTGTGCGAGTGCGGCGCACGCAAACCCGCAGTCGCCAGAAAGCTTACACGAAGGCTGCAACGCGTGACCTGGGTACTTTGACAGATGTCAGCCGCAAAGCTAGAGGTTCGGTTGCCTATAATACATCGGCGTGTTTGTATCGGCGTCCATGGGTAACATCTCGGCAACAGAACCCAAAACTACACGGCACCAGCTTCACTCAAACTGTTTCAGGACAAGCTGCGGAGCGTTCGGGTTAATCATGCTGGCGACTGTACTTCCTTCTCTGCTAGCAGCTGTACCAGAAACATGACGCCACGGCAGTCAAGTAGGTAGCCAAGTACGAGACGCCGTTTTGGCGCAAAGCAGCGTGCGGCGCCTTCTGCATTGTGTGTTCGTGGCGGGCCTGTGGTCTCAGCTTACTTTCAAGGGGGCAAAATAATGTATGCGGGCAATATAAAGAACCTATAGAGCGTTATTTAGGCATAATCAAATAAGAAACAAGAGAATGGGCACTAATGTCATCACTTGTTACAATTAGCTACGAGCGGCTGCCTTGTTTGGCTCCTAAAGTGATGCCACTTTGTGATGTTCGCGTCCGCCGTGGTGGAGCACTGGTCATTGCGCTGGGCCGCTGCCGAACGTTGCGGGTTTGACCGTGGCAGTTGTGGTTACAAATCAGAGAAGGTGAAGAGGCCCTTGTATAATGCAGTGCACTTTAAGGAACATTAAAAATAAAGCAACATCTACGGAATATTCAACACGATCAAAGTTTTCCAAGTCCTCTTCTATTGCATGCCTTATAAATGTGGTGGGCTTTCTGCAAATAAAACGTCAAACCTTGTTTTCAGAATGCTTTGCTGTTTGGTTAGAGACCCCAAAACCTACATTCATTCTTTCAACTGTACGTTGACAGATGACGATTCGCACCTGCCGTGTTGTGTGGATTGAAACGCGGAAATTATGCTGAATTCCTTCTTTTAGACGAGGTTGTATTTCACCTAGGCATAATAATAACTATGCCTTCAAGCTAATTGTATCCAAAATGAACACCTACTTTGATTATGGTTAAAGAGTCTGCCTTCAATTTGTTTTAGAGTGTCTCAACCGCTATTTTTGTTGTGCAGGATCCTGGTAATGGCTAACGGCCGCACTGTTGAATTCGGACCCACGCACGAGCTCGCCAGCAATCCCGATTCCGCATTCCACGATATGCTGCGGCAAGCCGGATTGGTGCCATCTAACAGTCCGGAAACCTATGCTCAGCTGGCTACTCATTTGTGAGCATAGTGACCACTGGTGTCTGTACATACTCAAACATCGCATGTGTGAGGAGGCATTCATTTCGCATGAGCTGATAATAGAAACACAACTTTCATGGTGATATAATAAAAGGAACAGATAAGACATCTCCGAGCTGTTCCTCCAAAGTATCGGGAGTAAACTTGCATTTTCTATATTTCACTGAGGTCAAAGGTACCTTGATAGGTCAATAAGCACGAAGTGTAAACATTACCTAATGTTCATCACATATATTGATAGAAGGCATGCTGTCCGTCAAAAAGTGTGTTTTTTTAGCAATATCACAATGTCGGCGCTAAGGCTAGTTGATTGTGCATGACTGAAAAATGTCCGAGTGTGAGTTCCTCACATGCGCAATGTAAAGTCGGAGACTGCTTTTATTTCATCGACAGTATGCTCTTGTCTCAGATGGCATTGTGACGTTGTCATGTGATCCTAGGTACTAAAGAAAAACGTGCAATTCATTTTTGTTTTCATGAAACCAAAAATGGGCCAAGCATACGCATTTTGTTGCCGTACTTGCTTTCAAGTTCTGCATAACCACAATACTGCTTTTAAAACGCTGATATAGTGCATGTGTTACGGCTGAACGATGTGTCTATAAAATATAGCTTAATGAGAAGCCCAATTACCGGAGAAAATAAACGAAAGCAGGATGTTTCTTTGCAGCATAAATGTGGTGATGTATGATCCACTTATATTTATATATGCTTGTGTTGTTCTTTATTATGGACCAATTGTGTCCGGATATTTTTACACCATATATAAAAACTTCTGTTTCACATTCTTGTCCACATTCGTTCCGTTTCATGTTTCCTGTGGCTTCGCAAACTTTTTGAAGTGTTAGCAGAGTTCAGCAGCTGACGTGTTCGTTTCCTCTGTTGATTGTTTGTGTGTACGCAGTGTTTACAATGTGTTTATCAGCCATTGTTGAAAAGAAGTCGACGTTTTGTAGGTGTCCAACCTTTCATGATTTTTAAAAGTGGATCCGCGCAGTCGTAGTTTTTCTGCAAAAATAACTATGGCTTCTTTGTGCACTTTAATTGCATCGTACGTACGTGTGTATGAATTTTGATTATGTGCTGTCTGATTTCTTTTGCTTCATGAGCATAAAAATACAAGCTTGGCTGTATTTACACAGCTGTGGTGCATGTTCATTGTTAGATAAGCATTCCAGGCGTACCCTTAGTCGCTGATGTGTAAGAACGTGGCAGCCTGTTGAAGCAAACTTAGCAGCTTTTACAATAGTGTCATTGCAAAGCGTGACATAAACTACTGTCGAAAAGTGTGCATCAACTGAAATGTTTGGGTAATGTGGGCGTTCCGATTACCTTCCTGCCTTCTATTGCAAAGAGGTAGGCACTTGGCATTTCGAAGGAAGTGATTTGATGGGCACAGTCACAGAGATAACTAATGCGTTATTTTCCCACTATACCCCGATTTGCCGTGCGCAACGGGGTTTCCAGCAGACTTAACACGGTAACCAAACAAACAGGTCCAAATAGACTGCCGACCCAGTGCACACTTCAAGACTTTCTCCTCTTTAATGCAGTGCTGGAAACAAAGGACCCAAGAAGAAAAGTGCGAAAAAAACGCATGGCATGTTCTGCAAAACAGGTGTGTTAAGACTGTAAAGAACATACCGTTTGTATATGGTGTCCCTTAAATTGACCACAAAGGCAAATTTCTCAATGATTACTAAAGACACGATATCTACACGCTCAAAGGCTCAGTTCACTGTAATTTCACTGGCCATCATGAACAGAAGGTGTCTCAGCCAAAACTTAGGAGAGCAAGCTTTCAGGACTCTATGAAGAACAACGCACTGCTCAAGAAAGTGAAGGGCAGTATATTCAACGACATGGTGGTTCTTGTGAAAGCATGCCCTGTGTATTTCTGCAGAGAAGTGAAATAATACATGCACTTGAAGTTTTACAGCTGGCCGAGACGTGGTTCGATATCGTTCGATATGCCAGGGCGTACGCCACAAAGTCACCACACATGACACCTTTATTTTGAAGCAAGAACACAACACGGTGGCGATGGAGTCGTTCTAACGACCTATACTATGTAGTACGGACACACGTACACTACTCACGGATTGAAACAGGACACTCATAGTGCGTTGCCGCCACTACACGTAACGCCGCTCGTGGGTGCTCCTGTAACTAAGTCGTTGCATTGTAGTGTAGAGTGAGGTGGAGAACATCTACAAATCAGCATTTCTACTTCCGGTCACCGATGATTCGGCGTGTAGTTCACCATGTGCACACTGCCAGCGTGGCGTTCTAAGGCGGGCTTTTTCCGCATGCCGACCGAACAAGCTACCAGGTGCGCACCTTACAATTACCCTTTGGCGCGAGCAGACGACTCGCTGGTTCTGCGTGCTTTAGCGATGTGGCTTGCAAGCTGTGCAAATATAATACAGGATTCAGCTAAAATATTGCACCTTAGGTGCGTTGGTAGATGTGGTGAACATTCCACGACAAAGCCACACGACAAAGCCACACGACAAAGCCACACGACAAAGCCACGGCAAAGAAAGAAAATAAGCAGTGAGAGGCCTGTCTGCATGCAATTGAAATTATGTGTTAGTACTTTGTCATTTCGCTGCAAGCTGCCACCACCGCAGTCATTCTGCGTGGCAAGCTTTCATATCAGCCACAGACGACTGGGCCAACTTCAGCCATTCTTCTTCAACTGCCGCCCAAAGCTTCTCCGACGAACATTTGTGCAGTGGTTGGTGCGGGAGGTTCTTCCTAATCTCAGGCTATACATTTTCAATGATGTTCATATTCGCCCCTTGGGGGGGGGGGGAGGCTATTGCAACTCCATTATACACCTCTCCTCCAGCAGGCGCTTGATTGATACTGCGGTTAGAACGGGGCTCCGGCTGTGCTGAAATGAAAACAGGCCACCCATAAACGGACCGTTCAGAGTGTATGGTAGCAGCATGATGTCCAGGAGATCGCTGTTTGCTGCGGCGTTGAAGCGACCATCCAGGCGTATCAACAGGCCCAAGCCGTCTTTGGAAATGGACCCCATATATTGACGCTTTAGCGACCGCTGCTTGCTACGCGATGCAGATGGGGTGAGTCAAATCTTGAGAAAAGAACCGGGAAGAACACAAAAATAAATGACTTTAATGCGATTATTCTAGATATTGATAACTGCGATGATTTCATTTCATTTCACTTTATTTTCAATTTGAACAAGATAGATCAAAACACTGTTCGGACCCATAGCCAAAAGCTAGAATAGGGTCCAATGATGCGATACAATATGGCACAGTATCCAAACGATAGCACAAGGCAACAATAGCACATGTAACAAAACAATAGAACAAGGCATTGAACCAGGATACAAGATGCTAAGCATTGTGGATATAGTAAAGAAGGTTAGGCATTTTACAGACATATATTGTCATATACTCGAACTTGGGTAAGATAAAAGAGACATGTATTTTATACACAAACAAAAGAAAGGCAATGAGTAATACCAACTACGCAGTAAACTTTCACTGGACGTAGTGATACTTATATACAAGAATTGAACGATTTGCTACTATTAAGGGGGTTACAGAGACACATTAAGGATTGCAAAGAAGTGTTTTTTTTATTTTCAGACGAAAGTTAACAGCCAATTTTATATCCAGGGGCAATCTATTCCAGATTTTGGTACCGACGAACTGCAGACGGCGCTCTCCATAGACGTTGTTCGTGAAAGGAAAGTTAAAATTACTGGCAGCAGTATTCCTCGTAGGTCGAGATGAAGAGAAAAGAATGGACGAATGAACAGGACGGTTATACCTTATGATATTATTATAGGCGATGACTGTTCTCTGTTGACGCAAACTGTCCATTGGTAAAATTTGTCGTTTACGAAACAGGGGTGCGCTGGGATGATCGTGGCTTGAGTGCGTTATTATTCTTAGTGAGCGCTTCTGTAGTTTTCGTAAAGGCTCCAGGTATGTAGTGTAAGTCCAACCCCATAAATCAATGCAGTAGGACAGATGACAGTGGATGAGAGAAAAGTACAAGATCCGTAATATTGCAAGGTTGAAATAGTTTCTCGCTTGCAACAATGCATGACAGCCCGAAGATAAACTCGATGATTGATATGTGGGGTTTAACGTCCCAAAACCACTATATGATTATGAGAGACGCCGTAGTGGAGGGCTCCGGAAATTTAGACCACCTGGGGTTCTTTAACGTGCACCCAAATCTGAGCACACGGGCCTACAACATTTCCGCCTCCATCGGAAATGCAGCCACCGCAGCCGGGATTCGAACCCGCGCCCTGCGGGAAGATAAACTCGAGCACATTGATTTTATATTGGGTTGCCAGTGGAGATGGTTGTCGATAACTACACCTAGGTTTTTAAATGAATTGATGCTTTCGAGTGCATAATTATTTATATTTATTTGAATGCTGTCTAGATTTATTGGCATATGTCGGGAACGGATTATCATGTACTTTTTTCTCGCGTTGACGGTAAGTTTATTTGCCTCGAACCAATGTGATATGTTTGCTAGTTCAGCATTTGTTTTGAAATGATAACGGGCCTTGCTCTTTATTGTTGGTGGAATGCACTGATTTTAGTAGTCTTTTATACAAGTGGCTTGCGTCAAACGTGACAAGACACATGTGGAATGTTTTAGGAAGCGCTATTGCGCGTAACGGAGTAGGTGGACCATATAACAAATTCTTTCTATCAAAACGTATACTTTAGCCACCGCAAACACCAGGCCATCTATCATGTGATACGAGAATGCACAGACAGATAAAGAGATGCATAATCCTTTAGAGAACTTTTGTAACACGCCCACAGTGAACACTTTAAAGGAGCACTGACATCAAATCTACTCATGCCAAGATTTTTGCGTCAACGAGTAGCTATCGGTCCTCGAGCAGCGATTCGCGACCTAAGACGCATCTGAGTGACCAATGAGTATCTGTGATGTTGATTAATATATTCACTA